GGATACGGGGGGAGGCAAACCATCCCCCCTGCTCTTGCAAATCCGACACCCATTCTGTTCTTGCCTGCCGATCCCTTTGTGCCGTAATACGGGTTCTTCCCTCCCCCTCTTGCTATTCTCCTTCTCACCCTCATTCTTATGCGCAGCCCTATGTAACGTATGCCCCCTCCCAGTTTCATCCCTCTCACGTGTCCCCAGAATGTTCTCAGTCGCTGCCCCATTGATAGCGCTCTCCCATACGGTCTGTTGCCGGCAAGTTGTTAAATACGCCGGAGGGGGGTGTTTCCCTTCATTCCGTCTTGATCGTGTTACCATCGTGTGCCTGGTGGCGCCATTAGGAAGTGGTTCCTCCTTACCCTGTCCTCCGATCTCACCGTATCCCGTCCGTCCCCCTGCCTCCCGGATTCCACTCTGTGGTTAAGTATATTGTCTCTCCATATATATATATTTGTTTTCTGAGGTTATAAATGAGGTTATAAATGAGCAGAAAGCATAAGTAGGCCAAATCTTTTCTTCCAGGCTCAGCATCTCTTGATAATTAAAAGAGAACATTGTGCAAACTTGGAATTGGGTGAATAGAGAACCATATTAAATCATCATATATATCATGTCATATCAACACTGCCAAAAAATATAAAACATACAACACTGAAATCTTGTTTGAATAGGTGGTGTTTTGCAAAGAACTTGCTTTAAAAATTGAACAGTAGCAGAAACTAAATTAAAATCTGGATCAAGCATCCTTTTCTTATCCCATCCTGTTTGTCCCATTTTGTTCAGTACATTTCTTCTCCAGGCAAATTATTCAGTTTTTATGGCAATGATGATCAGGATCTGAGAGCCCAAGCTCACACTGAACACCTGAAAAATGGCAAGCTGAGATGAATTATTTGAAGTAACATTAAAGAATGTAAGGGCTGAAGGAGATCATGGAGAACATCTAGTTTCAATCCCAATAATCTAAATGCTAAGGTCAGAATCAATTGCTGCATGAAAGAAAAAAACTGATTATCTGGATACGATCAACTGAGTTTGTAAGAAAACTATAAGAAAAGTATAGCAGCAACTATTCTTGCTTCTGGCCCAAGATCTTCTTTCTTTCTTCTTACTTCTTTATTGGCCAAGTGTGGTTGGACACACAAGGAATTTGTTTCCTGTGCATAAGCTCTCAGTGTACATACAAGTAACAGTGATTGTTGTTGTTAATTGCGAAGTTGTGTCTGACCCATCACAACCCCATGGACAATGTTCCTCCAGGTCTTCCTGTCCTCTATCATCTTCTGGAGTCCATTTAAGTTCATGCCTACTGCTTCAGGGACTCTGTCCAGCCACCTCATTCTCTGTCGTCCCCTTCTTCTATTGCCCTCAATCTTTCCCAGCATTAGGCCCTTCTCCAATGAGTAACAGTGATAATTGTGATCATATACAACATGAAAATACATTCATCATAAATCATGAAATACAACACTTCATCATGAATCATGATGCAACACTTAGTGATAATTATAGAGTACTAGCTAAGCAAACAACATAAATCATACTAGGGTAAAAAAAACAATATAAATTGTAAGATACAAGCAGTAAAGTTATAGTCATAAGAGGATAAGGATAGGTAATAGGAAAGATGAGGAGTATCATAGTAATACAGCTTTACTAAATATTTTGACAGTGTTGTAGGAATTAGTTGTTAAGCAGAGTGATGTCATGGAGGAAAAAACTGTCCTTATGTCTAGTTGTTCTGGTGTGCAATGCCCTATAGCATCGTCTTGAGAGAAGAAGTTGAAATGGTTTATGTCCAGGATGTGAGGGGTCTGTAGACATTCTTTAGAAAAAAAAATGACACAAGTGTGGGTCAAAAGGGAAAATATTATTTTGAGTCTTCTCTGAAGTAAAAATCTTTGTATTAAGTGTTGGGAAGCCAAAAACGTATTGAGCCATGGCAGAAATTCCCAAACTCTGTTATTAAAGTAAAGAAAGGCAATACAGTTATCCATCCAGTTCTTACAGAGCATCCTGCCTTGTGGGATCAGGATTAACATAAATGATAAAAGGAATGGGACTTTCCCGTAACTCTTTTGATTCTATGAGTGTTTATTTTGCTCTAGTACAAACCCCTATGCTGGCCTAGTAGATTGCTTACGTGCTACCTGGATGACAGGAAAGACCCGTCCAAAGGAGTATCGGGTCACACAGCTGGAGGCCCTGTGTTACTTTCTGGAAGAAAGACAGGCCGATATACAGCGTGCCATGTGTGAGGATCTACGCAAGGTGAGTTGGCCATCCATCTAGAGCACCCGACAGCTCAGAGGAGACTTGCAAATGAAGGGCTTGCTTGCCAGTTAATAAACATAGGACAGCTATTCTATTTTTCTCTTTGTTGGATTTTCCATGACAACAATTATGAAAAGGAAGCAATGTTTTTTGTATGTGCCATGAGAACTGAATTTAGCTAGGTGGCAAGCAGGCTACGGAAAATCATTATGTAAACATAGTTGAGCAGTCAACAAATGATTAAGAGTACAGCCAAGTACTTTATTTCAAAAAAGTGGGACAAAAACATCTAAATTTATCAAGACTTTAATTTCTTTGCATAGTCAGTCATCTAACTATATACTGTAAAGTTTTATTTGTAACTGAGTTTATCTGTGAGCCTCCTGCCTGATTAAGGTTTAAGTATCTAGAGAACTAAGCTTAGTGCTTAGTTGGTGTAAAACCCAAATATTACATTTCAAGAATCAATTGAGATGATAGCATGATAAAACTTTACTATGAATGAGACACAAGTTTGCTCAGTGAAGAATTGCTGCATAGTTCACCTCTGAACTCAGTATGGACATCACTGATGCATCTCATTTTGTCTTTCTTCTCCACAGCCCTGCTTTGAAACTGAGCTCACTGAGGTTCTCTTAGTCAGAAATGAGCTGGCCAACGCTCTTAACAACTTAAACTGCTGGATGAAGGATGAAAGCGTGAACAAGAACCTAGTAAGGAGAGAAGCTGAGTGGGAGGAGAACAAATGAAAAGGAATGTTTCTAGATTGGAGAGGGGAGAAAATCTAAAGGATATATTATCTCATTAAACTGAAGATGGACTTTCTAACTGAATTTTTTTTCCTGGTTTTTCTGTAGCTGACAAAGCTGGATTGTGCCTTCATTCGCAAGGAACCATTTGGTGTGGTGCTGATCATTGGAGCCTTTAACTTCCCTATCCAGCTTACTTTGTTGCCCCTTGTGGGAGCCATTGCAGCTGGTGAGTGAGAAGCTAGTTCCTAATTCATTTTAGACATTAGATCTTATGGGTGTTCTTCCAGGAGATGCAAGCATGTGGTGGATGTTAATCTGTTGCAACCATGGTAAAGTGTTCTCTCCTCCTTCTAGGGAATTGTGTGATTCTCAAGCCTTCAGAAGTGAGCAGCTGCACTGAAAAGCTCCTTGCAGAAGCATTACCTTGTTATCTGGATCCAGTGAGTTCCTCAACTGCCATCTTATCTTATTAAAAAAATCAAAATGAAGCTTTTTCCTCTGCCTTTGTCTTAATTAATCATGAGAGGGCAATTCTTTAGGCCCATTGAGGAAAAACTCTGGATATGAACTAATCTCCAATTTTTAATCTGTTTTTGGAAGCTGAGTTAATTTCTGCCCCTTTAGACTGTGGTGGTGGTGGTGGTGGTGGTGGTGGTGGTAACCTTCTGAGGTTTACTGTGCTTTTTCTAGCCCTTTGGTTTCAACGAAGAAGGCTGTCAGCTCTTTCTTAGCCAGCCACAGCAAAAGGGTGATGTACAGTTAACAGTTGGATAGCAGCAGTGTCAGTTTATTTTGGATGTAGGTTATGTGCTTTCTGTTTTTCTTAAAATCCAAGTACAGTGTAGAGGACTAAGTATATATTGTTACTTTAACAAAAGACTGTTTGGGGTAGATAAAGGAGGAATTAATTTAGGAGATTACTATGAAGGCAGGACAATTCCATTCCCAAGGTTAGACAGGAAAAAAAACCCATAGGTTCCCTATTACCATATTCTCACTAAATAAAAAATGATCATTTTAAAATTAAAATCTTTTAAGGAAAATCCTAATTTCCTTTCAATTTAGTGCATCATTTCCTTACTCGAAAATTCCTCTCAAGAGGCTTTTTATCTTGCAAAGTTTCAGGGGCAGAAAACACCACCTGTCTGATATGCAGGCAACTTGACTAAATATGAACTTCCTTTTCTATTTTATAGCAAACCTTTGCTGTGGTGACAGCTGGTCCTGAAGAAACAGGAAAATTACTGGAAAATAAGTTTGATTATATCTTCTACACAGGTGATTTTCCCTTCTTGCATATTCTTTTCGGGTTATTCTTTTCAATAGTACTTTAAAAAATATTATTAACCACTACACAAAAATCTATGTGGTAAGCCAATATTCAACTATTGAAACTGAAAGGTTCTGTTTTTTTTTTTTTTATCAAAGATCATTATTTACAAAAAAAACAAAACATCTGCAGTAGAATTTACCTCTGTTTAGCTAATACAATACCTTTCTAGAAGACCAAATTGTGTATATTGCTGCAATTTGCCATGTGTCTTAATTAAGTAACTTTATCATGTTTATCACAATACAGCTGAGTTAGTGGCAAGTTAGGCCCAGGACAGTGATGACAACCCTTGTGAGGTCGACATGTCAAGAATTCAGAAAATACCTAACTTGACACTGCTGGCATCACACACACACACACACACACACACACACACACACACACACACACACCCCTTCCCCAAACAACAGAGAAACATTCTCTATCTCCCTCCCATCCAGGCCACCATGAATAGCAATTCTTGATAGCAGTGCCAAAGCTGGACCTGAAGTCAAGGCCTGGGCCTTGACTTCTGTCCTAGAGCTACTGCTGCCACTCCAAAAGGCACATTGTTTCCCAAGGCTTGCGAAACTTGGGAAGCAGCACGATTGCCCTTGGGGCTCAGTGCTCTCCAGGATCTGCCATGCGCCCCTTACCTTCAGATGATGTTCTCTTTTAGCTGACAGGCTCCTGTGATCTACCTGAGGCTGTTCCAGGTCACAGGAGGCCTTTGTTCTTGAAGCAGCTTCAGAAAATATTCTTCCGCTGTCTCTGAAGGCTCCAAAACTCACATTAAAGCAGGTCCCATTCTCACACAATTTTTGGAGGCTGCACAAGATCATGGCCCTCCCTGGGGATGCCTGGAGGCTGTGCAAGAGTACATCCCTTCTCCCATGGTCTCCACAGCCTCTGAAAATTGCGTGAGAATGGGGACGCTTTCAAGAATTGTTGTTGGGTGTTGGTGGAACCTGGCCTGTGACAGTGGCATGTCATAGGTTCACCATCATTGGCCCAGGGAAACTGTTGCATGTGGTGTTTGTAACTTTGGCTATCAGCAGCTTCCAGATTGTAGATCTTGCCCACAAGTGAAGCAAAAGTTGAGTTGTCACACTTTAAGTAAGAAAAAATGCTTAATGCAAAATTTCAATCTTTTGGAAATAATGAACATTCTCTGGCTTTTTCCCTCACAGTGAAGATACTAAGATTTTTCTTTCCCTTTCATTCCCAGAACAGCTTAGGGTAATAACAAGAACTGCACGTTTAATAGGAGTTTGGCAGGAGAGTTTGATGGAATTTTAATGGACTGTCTATATACATTCTACATCTAAATTGACATTTTTAAATAACTTGGATGAAGAGGTAGATGGAATCATTATCAAATTTGCCGACGAAATAAAATAAATTGGATGGAATATATATTCTAGGAGACAGAAACCAATAAGTTAGAAAAATGAACTGAAAATAAGGGAAAAATTGAGTTTTTTAGGAATCAAAATTCCTAACAAACAAAACAAATGCACCAGTTTGGAAACAGCCGTTGGAACAGAATGCTGATCACAAATGATCAGCAGTGTAATATGACTGTTAAAAAAAGTATACACAATCTTAGTTTAAATCAATCAAGTTACTAAAATGGGATTCAACTTTATTTTGCATTGGTCAGGCCATACTTTGAGCACGGAGTCCAATTCTGGATACTATTGTTGAATATTTCAGATAGCCTGGAATAGGTTCAGAGAAGTCTGATCAGGGGATAGGAAAACAAGGTGTAGACTTGAACTGGGAATGTTTAGCCTTAAGGAAAAAAAAGACTGGGGGTAGAGGGTAATATAATGGGTACTCTTCAAGTACCAGAAAAGATGCCTGTAGAAAACCAAGACTTCTTAGTCACCCCAGAAACTAGGACACGGAATAATAGCTTCAATAGTAAATATAAATACCTGGAGAGCTGGTACATCTGGACATTACCTGTTGTGAGTACTTCTCTTTGGATCTCTGCACTTAGTGGGTTGGATTCAATGGATTATTTAGCCTGTTTTTCTCTATGATTTTCTGAAATGATTGTAATAGAAATTGAGTGTGTCTCTAAGCACATGGAGGAAATTTTTCTCAACTGAAAAGCTGCCATGGGTTCCTTCATGCCTTTGGTTAGGGCTATTAGATCTGATGATGTGATTGACAGAATACCCCAGGTGGATATCAACTATAGCCTGGATGTCCCACCATCAGAGGCTGAAACCTCACAGGCCATCAGTCAGTGTTCCAGTGGTAAGGCACCAGGATCTGATGCAACCCCAGCAGAAGTCTATAAGGCTGGTGGTGCTGTGCTTGTTGAAAAACTCACCCAGCTGTTCCGGTCTTTCTGGAAACAAGGTTCCATCCCTCAGGAACTGAAAAACGCGTCCATTGTGCACCTCTACAAGAGGAAAGGAAATCGACAAGTCTGCGATAATTATAGAGGAATATCACTTCTCTCCGTC